CTAGGCATGCAGGAAGAGCTCAAGCTACTGCTTTTGGTAATCCTTCTCATCCTTCTTCCTCTGTACCAAATAGGGAAGGATCAGCTCAAGTACATCAAGAAATTGCTAGGCTTGTTACAAGAATACTAAGTGGAAACCACTCTGTCCCGGGGATTTCTGTCCCATTAAATCAAGAATCAGCAAGCCCAAATGTTGAAGCAAATGTAGATGTCTCTGAGAATGTTGTGACACCAAATGACAACATTCAGAACCCTTCAGAGAAGACTGTTGATCCGCCTGTCATTGATGTGGATGAGGAATACTCAGACAATGATCTAATTGCCAATGTAAACCCTAGCATAGCTAGGAGAATGATGAAAAGAAAGGGTAATCAGAATGCTATGACCAAAGAGAAACCTGCTGATAAGAAATCCAAGGCTGAAGGCAAGACTGGAGTAGAATCTATGAAAACTGGTCAGTCCAAAGGGAAGGTGAAAGCCCAGGTGCATACTGGTAGACAACCAATTACAAAGAAGAGAAAAGAACCAGAGTATTCTGATTCTGATGAGGAATCAGAGTTTGAGATTGATGCTGAAGAAATTCCTATCAGAAGGAAACTCCCCTCCAGCAAAATGGCTAGAGTTCCTGAAGTCCCAACAGACAACATCTCTTTTCACCACCCTGACAATGCCAACAGATGGAAGTATGTTTGCTTGAAGAGAATTGCTTTAGAAAGAGAGCTAAACAATGATGCTATGGAGTGCAAGGAAATCATGGACCTGATTAAAACTGCTGGACTGATGAAGACTGTGGTAAAATTTTCCAAGTGCTATGAAAATCTGGTCAAGGAGTTCATAGTTAACTTGTCTGATGAATGTGCTGATGGAAGGTCAGCTGACTTTGAATGTGTTTATGTTAGAGGAAGAAGGGTTAATTTCTCTCCATCAGAAATTAACAAATTTCTTGGAAGATCAAATGAGGATTGTCCTGAACTAGAAGTCACTGACAATGAAGTTTGTCAAACCATCACAGCAAGACAAGTCAAGTGCTGGCCCTTGAAAGGCAAGCTGAATGCCAGCAAACTAAGCATAAAATTTGCCATCCTGCACAAGATTGGTGCAGCCAACTGGGTCCCTACAAACCATAAATCTACTATCTCCACAGGATTGGGGAGATTTATTTATGCTGTGGGAACCAAGACTGAATTTGACTATGGCAGGTATATTTTTGAACAAACTCTAAAACATGCTGGTAGCTTTGATGTCAAAGGCCCTATTGCCTTTCCCTCCCTCCTGTGTGGGATTATCCTTGCACAGTACCCTGATATCCTGGTGGCAAGAGATACTGCTTGCAAAAGAGCTCCTGCTCTTGGGTTACACTACAAGCTGTTTCAGGGATCTCATGCTCCTGATATTGTCATAACATCAGCTGAGACATCATATGTGAAGACTCAGTCCAAAACATCTGATGTTATAGCTGTATTGAAAGAGACCTGCAAAGAGCTGGAGACTAGGAAAAAGACCCTAGAAAACCTAATTGTCAGGTTAGAAAAGGAGGAAGCTGAAGGAAACAGAAGGGAAGAGGGTGCAGAAGCTGAAGATCAACTCAATACTGAAGAAACTAGCTCCTCTGAAGGGGACAGTACTTAAAGGTTGGTGGAGTTGCTGCTGGTTCCTGGTGGAGTTTGCAAGTGTGTTCAGCTTTTAGTTGTTGTTTTCATTACTTTTTCTGGATGACTGTATAAACATTTTAGTACATGTAATCTTTGGCCCATTTGTGGCTAAAGAGGGGGAGATATATTTTGGTAGACATTATTCACACTATATTTTTCTGCAGTCATATTTATTCTGCTGCTATCTATCTCTGATTGCTTAGGGGCTTTAGCCAAAAATCTGCCAAAGGGGGAGTTTGTAGTTGTTTAGTTATTGGCATGCATTTTTGGTAAATCCAGGTGTGTGAATGTCATGACTGATGTCATAACATTCTAGTTTATTAGGTACTGATTTATTAGGTACCTTTACAGAAAAATAGTGGCATACAGGTACTGATATTTATGAGTGTGTATCTGAGCATTTTTGCAAAATGATCACATTTACCAAAATCAGTAAACAGGAATTCATATGTCATAACAAATGTTAAGACATCCTGTTCTGAACTAACAGTTATGCAGTTTGGTTAATTATGAGTTTTTTCAGGAAAATGACTCAGTCTTTCCAGAACAGAAACTCTCGTGGACTTGGTGTTAACCTAGCTCAACCCTAACCTGGTTGATAAAGTCCTGTGACCAAGTCTTAAGGTCAAACAGAATTAACCCTAGCTTTTTGTGGAAACCCTAACTGAAGAAGCAGCTGCTATATATTCAACAGGGCTGCTGTTTGGAATTTATCCCTTTTGATAGAAGATCATTTAGAAGCTGTATAGTTTTAACTATTGTAATCCAAGAAAGTATCATTGTGATAAGTGACTTGGAATAGGTTTTAATTGTAAGGGTTTTGTATCACTCAAAGCTTTGAAGCAAGAGTGTTTTGTGTCTCTTGACTAAAGCTTTGAAGCAAAGTCAAGTTAGGTTTATGTCTCACTCAAAGCTGTGAAGCAAGAGTGTTTGTGTTGCTTGATTAAAAAGCTGTGAAGCATAATCAAGTGTATGTTTTGAAGAGTGTCTTCATCAATTCATTAGTCAAATGTTTTAAGTATCATTGCTGTGATTGAGGGGGAGTGAGTAGGAACTCAGGTTTAAGTTGTACTTAGATTGAAGTTGCATTGGGTAGGTCTTAAGTGAAGGAGATAAACTGGTTGGTTTATTCCTGAATTAATATCTCTTATAGTGGATTTCCTCCCTGGCTTGGTAGCCCCCAGAGTAGGTGTTGTTGCACACTGAACTGGGTAAACAATTGACTGTGTTCTTTACTGTTTTTGTATTTATTGTCTTATAGAAAGTCAGATACGGTGTCATAACATTGAACGTGACATTGAGTATCTGCAGCCAGAATTTCAGAACACTAGGGGTGATTTTCCTGCTGAAGTCGGTGGAGGCTCTTTATACTCCTTGAGGATGGAAACATGGAATACATCATGTATTCTATTGTCCATAGGAAACTGAAGTTTGTAAGCGACCGAGCCTATTTTGGCCACTACTTGAAAATGATCAAAAAAACTTTGGTAGGAGTTTGTTATATTTCTGTTAGTCCCACTAAGGCGAAATAATTCCTTCCAAAATAGACTTTGGAAGACTTTGTCGCGGTCCGACACTATGGACTACAGCAAGCCATGAAGCATGTAAAGAAAACAGTGGCAACATACCTTGTCGTAAATGGATGAGATATCGGTAAAAAAAATTCACATATTTGGAGGGCCTATCAACCACCACAAGTAGAACTAATTTATCATGGGCTTTAGACGGTCCTTCCACAAAATCCATGGAAATATCCGCCCAAATCTATTATGGGATTGGAAGAGGTTGCAATAGTTCCACAGGTTGAAGGGTTTGCCACTTATGGGCTGACAAACTGAACAATTTTGTACAAACTCATAAATAGTAAGCTTCATGCCCTTCCAGTGAAAATCACGTCGAATCCGATAAAGGGTTTTTAGGCTGCCTTCATGTGTCATGTCATGAATGGCGGAGAGGATAGTGGGTATAAGAGAGGAGGTGGGAAGCAAATGTATCCTTTCCTTAAAGAAAATTAGTCCATCATTAATGGACCACTGTGACCCTAATTCTCCATGTTCAATGGTTCTCCTCGGTTTTAATAAATCAGGAAGTGTTGTTGTTTCCTTGCGAATATCTTCCAAAATACCAGCATGAGGAAATGATATTGTCATTACATACGGGTCCTCCTCTTCTCGCCCGGACAAGGCATCTCCACTTCTGTTCAATTTTCCTGTTTGTATTCTACTCTGAAATCAAATCCCATTAATTTACTCATCTAATGTTGTTGCGGGGAGTAGAGGTGTTCAAATCCAAATCAATCCAAATAAAAAACTGAAAACCGATCCAAAAAACCGAAATTTATTGGATGTGTTTGGATGTCATTTTATGAAAACCGATCGGTTCGGATCGAATTTCGGATGAATTTTTCAAAACCGATCCAAACTAAACTGAACCGCATACATATATTTTTACACTTATTTATTTTTTATTAGTATGATATGTTGTGTGAATTTATTATTAAATGATAAAAAAAATTTAATAATATTTATTAGCTTGATATAATCTATTTATTTTTATCATTTCACCCATAATCGATTACTCTCATTTTGTAATATTAACTTTTAATATACTATATGTTATATATTATATCAAATCTATGATTTATTAGTATTTTTATAATATTAATAAAAATATAATGTATAATTTGAATATCCAAAAACCGATCCAAATTAAACCGCATAAAATTGGATCAAATTGGATTGAATTTTTTTAAATATATCATCCAAAACCGAGCCGAATCACAAGTGAATTTATCTTTGAATCGGATGAATTTTTGCTTTAAAACCGATCCAAACAGAACCGCGAACACCCCTAGTGGGGAGGGGTGGTCAGACGTTGTTCCAACAAGTATTTAAGGCTGAAATGATCTGTCCGTTTAAGGAAATGTATGCCCCAAACGTAGGGACGCCAATGCGCTACTGCTTTGGTCAACCTTATCAATCCGCGCTCGTATGCGGCTAATTTTAAGTGTCGTTCTGCTATTTTGTGACTGAAATAAGCAACAGGGTGCCCTTGTTGCTGTAGAACAACTCCAAACCCACTGCCAGATGTGTCACATTCAACCACAAACTCTACATTGGAGTTTGGTAATTTTAGTACTGCGGCTGTTGATAAGGGTCGTTTTAATGCTTTAAAGGCCATGTCAGCTGCAGAATCAAAATGAAAGGCCTTTTTTTAACAAACTTGTTAGTGGAGTTGCTATTTCTCAATAGTCTTTGATAAATTTTCAATAATATCTAACTAAACCAAGAAAACCGCTAAGGGCCTTTACAGATTGAGGAATGGGCCACTCTGATAGCTTGAATTTTCGTTACACCATTTTGACTTCAGCACCATGAATAATATGGTCCAAATAAGCCACTTGTGACTCACCAAAAGAGCATTTGGATTTCTTTAAAAATAACATGTTGGTCCTCAATAGTTCAAAAACTAGCCGCACATGATGTATGTGTTCCACCAAAGTCTTACTAAAAATTAAGATTTCGTCACAGAAGACTAGCACAAACTTACGTAAGTATGGCTGGAAAATTTCATTCATCATATTTTGAAAGGTTGAAGGAGCGTCGGTGAGACCGAATAGCATGACCATAAATTCGAAGTGTCCATGTTGAGTTCTAAAGACTGTCTTCTCTATGTCTGTTGCTGCCATTCGTATTTGATGGTTCCCAGATCTTAAATCTAGCTTTGTGAAATGTTGTGCCCCATTAAGTTCATCCAACAATTTATCCACCACTGGGATAGGAAACTTATCCTTTATTGTTTGGGCATTGAGTTCACGATGATCCACACAAAAGTGCCATGAACTGTCATGCTTCTTGACCAAGAGATCATGTGAAAAGAATGGGGACTTACTGGGTCGGATAATCCATTGTTGCAACAGCTGAGTGTACTGTCTCTCGATCTCATATATTTGAAAATGTGAGTATATCTATATGGCCTGTGAGTATATCTATATGGCCTGACCAGCCCTGGTCATGTGCCCGGATTCAGTAGAATGCAGTGATCACAATCACGATTAGGCAGTAAGCAAGAGGATTCCATGAACAAGTCTGCAAAGTCAGCCAACAATTTCTCTAAGATTGCTACCGGGGAATCATGTCCTTGCATCAAATTGAGTCTGTGTTATGCCTCTGCAGGTTTACCCGTCCATTTCACCTTCCCATTCACAGTAAACTCCATTTTCAAGGAACTAAAATCCCATAAGATTGGACCCAATGTGCACAACCACTTGACTCCTAAAATCACATCAAATCCAGCAAGCGGAATAGTATAGAAATTTGTTTGGAACCTTTCTTGTGCTACAAAAAATGGTACAGGCTTGCAAATTCGCATACTAGTCATTCTCTCCATTTGCTACATATACTCGCAGCCCCGGTTTTTTCCATACATTTAACCCCAAACATTGGAATTAAGTCTTCACATATGAAATTATGCGTGCTCTCTGAATAAACTAAACCTGATATTGTTACTCCAGCCACTTTCCTAGAATCACTATCATTTAAAATTAAATAATAATCCTATTTAATAGGTAGATTCTGTTCTGACCCCCTAAATCTTTTCCTAACAATGCTGAACTTCAAATTTAAAAATTTGTTATGCTGACTTATTAAAAATAACTACTCCTACTCCGCCTAACCAATCTTAATCAATAGAATTAGAGTTCATCCCCCTTTGATACTGCTCCCACAAATGCATCCATATCATTCTTGTTTGTTGGATTTCTATTTAATGAATGCAAGACCCTTGTTAGAAAAAAGCAAACAGAGTCAAACATAATAGTTTAGTTAAGAAAATATTCACACAAAGCTAAGTGGCGTCTATCAAAGTTTAGCCGAAGAGTTTATTTCCTCTTTATTGAGTCACTTCAAATCATGTTACATCTGAGACAAAGTCACAGTGCCACAGCTCTTGCTCATAGCTCATCTTTGGACCTTTCATCTTTTACATGTTCATCATAGGATGCATATGCCTTAATAATTGACTCATATATTTTGATTCCTTTCAAGTATTCATCTTTGTGGAGATACTGCACAGAGAAGAAACAACACATAGTAACATTAGGATACACAGTAACATTAGGATACAATTTCAAAAACATAAGGGGCAAAAAAGTATCAACGCAAATCAAAGTGATGTGATCTGTAGACATACTGGCATAGCATCAAATAATTAAATAAGCACAAAATATATTATAAGAATCACCTCATTGTGGTCATGGAGTAGAACAGGAGTGTTTGCCATAGGTGAGAATCCAATAGCTGGCAGCCCAAGATTGCGGAAATAGCGTGCATCCGTGGATGCAGGAAAGATCTCTGGCTTGCCAAGTTTCCCACCGGCCTCTTGGACAGCATTTTCTAACAATGCCCACCAAGGATTGGAACTGTCAGTTTTGGTGAGGACTGGTTTCCCAGATGCATCACGCACAGACACCTTATGTTTGAACTGCCCGAGCTAAAATATATTAGAGGGGGAATCTAATAAGATGTAATTTATTCTCAACTAATGGAAAGTTGTAATCAGAACATGTTACACAATACATCTACATCAACATCTAATTTCAGCCCTCCTTTACTGTTATTTTCTTTGTTCTGTACCAACCAAAACACCCAGCTTCCTCAACCATAACATTAACCTTTTCCAATAGAAAAGATGATAAAGTTGCAGAAGATGAAGGCCATGATCTGATATGTTCTAATATACAGATGCTAGTTCTAAGAAGAAAAAGAAGAATTTTTTTATCTTAATGACAGAAATAGTGAAATACTTCCGATGGCTACAAATTTCTATAAAAGTGGAAGACAAAAGAGACTCATTAGCAAAAATAGTGAAATACTTCCAAGTAGCTACTTACGGTGAAAGACATATTGCGCCAAGTAGGTGCCCACTCTTCAGCAATTCGTCTCTCCAGTGATTCTGTATCCGCAGTTGGTGGCACTCTAATATCAAATCCAGCTTCTGCTTCAGATGGCTGCAAATTCATGACAAAACCCTGGCGCACAGCAAAAGAAAGATATAATAGAATCATTATGGGGAATTCAACCATGACAATTGCTGGAATTTCTTAACGTGCGAACACACAAACCTGTAAATGAAGTATCATTTCAAAGATAAGCATAGCATAGTATAGCTGGTAGACTCCTCTACAATGTATAATAGAATATTGATATAATAAGGAGAAAAAAATGTTGAGCAAGATTGTGTTTCCGATTCTAATCTATTTATGGATTAACCAATCTTTTATACTACATAAAGTTTTAGATTGTTGTCTGCAACCATGATTGCAGCCGCACATCAAAGTTTTATACTGGTCAACCCAACTACAACACAATTCAATTTGCACTTGTTTATAATATCAAAGTCTGTGGTATAACGACACACAACTATACTATAAAGTTTTACATTATACAATACATGTTTGATCACTTTGATGGAATAATTGAGCTGACTGACTTACTGTTGGTGACGGAGTTCCAGCCTTCAAAAAGGCCATGTTAATAGAAATAACTTCTCCATCAGCCTTCAAACCAGCCTTTATCAGGTCGAACTGCGAGGCACGGTACCTTCGGATGCTTTCAATACTCTTCAAAAGATTCTCCAAGGCAGAGTTATCATAAAGCTTGGCCCCATGTCCCGGAATCCCAACGGCCTTGATTTTCAGCCACCACGGACTCCTCTCAGCATAGAATGCCCTGTAATGGGCATCCGGAGAAGCCAATCCTGCGTGTTTATAAGTGAATACAACGTTCAAAACCAATGGAATTACATATAAAATAGCTTATAAAATCAGCTTAAAACTTATAAGTGCTTATTTATACTATACCTTCATCAAGCACTATAGCAACATTCAAATCCTGAAAAACCGTAGAAAGGGAAAACTTTTCAGCACCATCATGTCCACCAATCTCCTCGTCAGGAGCAAAAGCTAAATAGATACTCCGTTTGGGTTGAAAACCCCATTGTTTAAGCTTGCGAACAGCTTCAAGATACTGCATGGCAACACACTTCATATCCTGAGAGCCTCTGGCATAGATTCTTCCCTGAGAATCGAGATGGGCTTCAAAGGGAGGATGGTCCCATTTATCGTGTTCTGCAGGGACAACATCAGTGTGAGAGTAGAGCATGATGGCGGGAAGGTCTGGACTTGTTCCGACCCATTTGAGAAGGACTAAAGGTTTTCCTGGAACGAGTTCGATAGTTTGGGAATGGAGTGACAGGGAATTCGCTTCAGATATTAGGAACTCCGAGGATTGTTTGTAGTTTGGGGTTGGATGGTTGGTTTTGATTTTGAGGTATTGTTGAAAACGTGAAATGATGTCGGATTCTGAAGATTCTGATTCTGAAAATGTGACCGCTACTGTTGATAATAGAAAACCGATGAACATGATGTTTGGCCACTTCAACTTCATCGTTCTTCTGCAGAGCGTTGCTGACTCTCACTCTTATCTTACTCTTGATGTCGTTAACCCCGTCTGCCCTTTTTTATGTTAGCAATGGGAATCTTTTTTTTTTCTTCATTGTTGTTAGTGGACATAAATGAGATGAAATGTGTCATTGTTTGTATCATTTAAAAGTGGATGGAATGATATGGATTCAATTTTATTTCATTACTTGTTATTATATTCTTTTCTCTCTTATTTGAGTGAAATGAACAATTTTGTTATTCTATTTTAAAATTTTTAAATAATGGAATGATATATCCGCCTATGTTCAACTTCATTCTACTCTACCACGCTTTAATTATTTCATAATATTTAAACATAATCTTAGAGTTTAATGATATTGAAAGTGAAAGACTAAAATAGTTTTATACTAACGTATAATAATTGTTCCGTGTTGAAATTATAGTTGATCAGAAAATATGGATTCAGAGTTTGTTGTGATGGTTCAGAGTTATCGAAATGGTAGAGACGGGATTAACCTACAAGATTAGCACTCCAACGCTCAAGTTAGTATGATATTGAAAAATAGTGTTTGAATGAGAAGGGATTTGAATGTCTATGAAAGGCATGCTTTCCTCTTTAAAATTGAGAAATGGTTGATAATCGTATGTATGTAGAACGACGTGGGATGTGTTCATCCATTGAATTTATTTTTGCGGTTAGCTTGGCTTTAGTGTGAAGGATTGTCTGCTCAGTGGAGAGAAAGGATTTACCCCCTCGACATTCAATGCATTGTTTCTTCATCGTTGAGCCTTTTGTCTTTTGGGTCTTTGAACGACCCCAAATAGTTATCCTCCAAGCCTTTGTTTCTGCTTTGTAGAGCGAGGGCTTGTGATACACATCTTTACTCGACCACAAAATCTGTGGAAGTGGAAGTCCTAGATGTGACATTGTTGTTCTTGAGAATAAGCTCATTAAATGTCGTTCTTGTAAGACGTAACGTAATGCTGGAAATGACTGAAATGTCTCCATGCACTAATTAGTAATTGTTATTTCTCTATTTTTATGATTGACATTAATTTTGGTAAAACTAATTTTGGCAGTAACATGTTGAATAAGATGTTCTAACTTGCAGAGAAAACATGTTGGACAAGATGTCCTAACCAGATCATTGGACATTGTGTTTGTTACAACTGTGCACTTGGATATATTTGTTTATAACAGATTCTAAATATTCTGGGAATATTAGGTTATTCTATATGGCGTCCAA